GAATGTCAAAGGTAATTTCGTACTCAGAGCATGTGTCACGGAAACATGAAATGTATGGACCTTACAACCACCTGGCCGTGGAAGGTCTGGGTACGAGCCTTCGTCAAAGGCCACAACCGACGACTTTGATGGATGAAGTGTGAGTCTCGTGTTCCGTAAGTCTTACTTTACTTGATTTTCATCACCAGGTCAGGTGAAATTTATTTAATAAAAAATTATTAGGAGATTCCTCCAAGGGAACAAAAACCATCTAAAATGTACTCCGCTTCGTATCTCGTTTGATAGTAGTGCCCAACTAGTATGTGGGAGGCATGAGTTCGAATGCCAACAGAGTCTGAAATTTCTATTGTTAGTGTGCTTTTTCGAGATTTGCCGTCCAAAGTTAGCTTTTGGTTTGCTAGGGGAATTTCTCTGCAGCAACGAAACTCTAAAGCACTGACCAATGCATTGGTGGAAAATTTGAACTAGCTAGAAACAAGAATTTAATGTCAAATAGTGGTTGCCAAACGTCCATCGCGGCTCACTCGACTGAAAGCCAAAGTGTGAGGTTTAGAAAACTTGCAGAATTAGAAGGATTACCTTTGCCACAAAACAAACTTGAAATGGCAACGAACGTTGCGAATCATTAAATAATAAATTATAAAGGTCTGTGCTGACTGATCTTCGCTCTCTCTTTCCATTCCTCATTGATTATTATTTCTATCATTATTATCATTGTTACAATAGATGATGTGCCGGTTGCTATGGCGTAGTTTTATTTTATGGGGACTTTACAAGTCTGATGTTTATTATTTGTAACTAAGTAACCCGATTTTTAACATTATATCTTTCCCCCATTTTTTAAGCTCAAGATTCTGAAGATAGACAATGATGGCATTAATTATATCTATATAGGATATTACATGGCCGCACGGGGAAACGAATTTTATCTTCGTATGCTAGCTGTTAAGTATTTCTAACTAGTGAGCGAAGCTCACTCGTGAGAGATACTTTTATCACGAAAATTCGTATCTCCAAGTGGTCATGTTCTGTTTATTTTATGGATACTGATGAAATTTCCGCATAAAACACAACTTTTTTTTTTTTTTATTCATTTTCGAAACAGCAAAATAGTGCAATTAAAGTGGTCACCTATCGCAAAATACCTGTCGCAAAATGTTATCAAACTCGGATATAAAGTTATAAAGGAGAAATAAAGACAATAATAGTTATTTTTTCTGTTCCAAAAAGTCAAAATTCTAATGAAGAAGAGAAAAATTCTATAAAAGGAAAAGCGTATCTTAAAATAGCATCGTTTTAACGGGTTGATCATATTAGTAACCTTGGCGACACCAATATGCTCACACGTGAAAGATAAAAATAGTATCTTCACTGCGCGCCATGAAGATATGATTTTCTAGTAAAAGGGAAAATCCTGGTATTTCGTCAGTATTTATATAATAAATGTATATATTTTGCCAAAAATTTATTTTTTTTAGCAAGCGTATTTGTGTAGAATTTGGATCTTGATTTATTGGTTATTTCTCGGCTGGTGAGCGCGTACGATTCTTATTCACAACGAGTGAATAAAAATCGTACAAGCCAACTAACCTTGAAGTAACTTATTTATTATATACATACCGAGGTTCATAAGCGAACAGAACTCAGAGATAAACATATCTTTATTTTCTTTCAAAGGAAAGCAACTCGCGGTTAAGCCGCCATTCGGGAGTTGCACTAAATTATCAAGCGAAATTGCCGTTAAAGGGCAGAACTGGGTAGAATAAATTAAGCTGTCTGTCGAGTCACATACTAGTTGTGCGCGTCGTGTTAGAGTTCTGATAGTTGTGGCTTTGTGTGATGTAGGGTTGTAGGATGACTCGTCTAGTAATCTGTCGGTGTGTGTCGGTTTCCTGTAAACTGTCGTTCGTAATGAGTTGTCGCTGTAGCTTACCAGGCAGTCTAGAAAAGGAAGTTTGCCATTTTCTTCGACTTCTCTGGTAAACTGTATGTCAGTGTTTTGTTCGTTAAGGTGGTTGTGGAATGCGTCATTTTCGTCTTGTCGAACGGCGGTGAATGTGTCGTCAACGTAACGTAACCAAAGCGGCAAGTCGAAAGGGCGCGTTCCTCGATGTTCTGCATCACAATTTCTGCTATAACAACAGAAACTGGAGACCCCATGGCAGTGCCGGTAACAGTTACAGTTACACGGCACTGTTGTTATAGCAGAAATTGTGATGCAGAACATCGAGGAACGCGCCCTTTCGACTTGCCGACAAACGATACCGCTTTGGTTACGTTACGTTGACGACACATTCACCGCCGTTCGACAAGACGAAATTGACGCATTCCACAACCACCTTAACGAACAAAACACTGACATACAGTTTACCAGAGAAGTCGAAGAAAATGGCAAACTTCCTTTTCTAGACTGCCTGGTAAGCCACAACGACAACTCATTACGAACGACAGTTTACAGGAAACCGACACACACCGACAGATTACTAGACGAGTCATCCTACAACCATCACACAAAGCCACAACTATCAGAACTCTAACACGACGCGCACAACTAGTATGTGACTCGACAGACAGCTTATCCGACGAGAACAAATACCTTCACCATGTTTTTACGAAGAACAACTACAACAACGACTTCATTCGACGAAACACTCACCGACCCACTACCACTACCGAAACAAACGACACCGCAACCCCTACGACTACAGCAACCATACCGTACCTAAAAGGCATGTCTGAAAACATCTCGCGCATCTTACTACCCTTCAATATCCGCGTCGCCTACAAACCCATCACCACACTACGTCAGTTACTAACCAACGTTAAAGACAAAGACGAACCGAGGAACAGACAGGGAACGATTTATAAGATCAATTGTTCCGACTGCCAAGCCTCCTACATCGGTGAGACTGGCAGAAACCTCACAACAAGACTGACTGAACACAGACGCGCGACGAGGAAAGGTGATGTCAGCAATCACATTGCTGAACACCATCGACTTACCAACCACAACATTGATTGGGACTCTACGCAATGCCTAACCTACAGCACTGACTATTTTCAACGACTGACTCTGGAAAGCTGGTTTACTAACTTAGAACAGACTCCCCTAAACAGATGTCAACAACTACCCGCCCCATACAAACGACTCATTCACGACATAAACATCACAAACGACCGAAAAAGAACGACCTAACTTTACCGACAGATCGAAACAGACCAATCACGACCGACTTACGTCACTTGAGTCTTACAGCCAATAACATCACGGCAAAACCAACCGATCATTTCACACGAACTGGAATAAGAACATTCTACTGACAACAATCATTCACTTGACTCTGATGACGACTTCCGCACAGGTTGTCAAAACGTCAGTCACTACCACCGACAACAGTCCTTCTCAGGACTACACTCACCCGGACGATCAGACTACACCTTCACATGTTACCCCCGGGTTCAAACCATTTACATTATTACCTTTATTGTTATTGAAAATGAATAAATATTTTATTTTCAGGATAAATATGCCAAGTGTCTAATTCATGCTCAAGGTGTGAATGACATGTGAAGCGTTGATTATCTGAGCTAAAACAGCATTTTTGTGATACCCCCAGGTAATGAGCCGTGTTTTGCATTTCTGAATACTTCTTTAGAGACTATTTTTTTCAAACGAGCCTGGCTGCTTTCACGTCATAAAATAAAACTCATCCCGGAGGGCATCTGTCCACTCTCGCTAGGCTCCTAAATGATCTTAGCTATCGCAGTGACTTTTTCAGTTAAAAGAAAACCATTACTCTGAACATAAACTGAACGACTGGATATAAATATTAAAATAAGCTTTCTTCATTTGTAACGAATGCATCCGCTAATTCTCCTCAATTTTATTCCTTTTTTTTTTTTACTGATGTTATTGTAAGAAGACTGTCACACGATTAGCTTACGGATTTGTGTTTCACGAAACACAATTTCAATCATTTGTGTGTCATTTGTAACATGAATTTTAAAAGCTCATACTGAATTATACATTGGCAAGTTTATAAATAGACAGATTTCTAAATATATATATATTTTCTGGTGAACGGACCAAAAACTGATTTTTTAGCGGACATTTCTTAAGCGATTTCTCTCTGAGGATAGTGGCACGGATAAACTGTCGAACGTCCCACGAGTTTCCGTTAATCTATTAATAGTGTCGGAGAACAGCTCTAAAGAGAATGATTAATCACAATAGTTCATCCGATGTTATTTGGAAGGAGCAAAGTAAATCTTGAATGATCTGCACCGAAAAGAAAATTTTTTTCCAGGATCACAAAATTGGTTGTCTGTTGCTGTTAATTATAGGCAAGTTCCAAAGAATAAAAAAAATTACTATTGAAAATTTTAAAACGGAGCTAGTGAAGGAGTTGATAAATAATTGAAGAAATCCATTTTGTCACGTGGAAAACTCTCGCCTGGTGAAACCGGAATACACAAAAGTAGATTGATCGAGTTGACACTTTGTAAAAGTTCATCGAGTTTCGTGTAATGATGGTAAGTTTCTTTCTGTAGGGAGAACTGTTTCACTGATACAATTTTTCCTTCTGCGCCTTTTTCTTTTCCTTTCAAGCTGCAAGTCTCTCTTAATTAAGCCATCTTACATACCGCCTGAAAGTGATGTTAATTCTCCAAAGCTCCTTGGCCCCGAGCGCTATTTGACGTAATATATTCACGAAGAAAAGGGTCGAACCAAGTGATGTTTACTGAGTAAAACTTTAAACCCAGGAAAAAAACGCAACACAGGGAACAAAATGCTCAAGGGTAGCCAGTGATTCGAGAAAACTCGAATGAAAAGAAAGGAAGTCCAACTTTAGCAGCTTTCAATTGTTTACAAATGCAAATGTATTTGTTGAACCAATGCTGGTTGAACCAATGCTGGAAATCAGGTATGATTATATGGGACTTATTTCGCTTCGCTTGGAGATTTAAAATGGTCCCTTGGTTAAGTTGACCTAAAAAGCTTGAAAGTCTCTCTCCTTTATCTTTTTTTTATTCGTAGTATCCTATTTTCCTTTTTAGAAGATGACATAAAGCTCGTGAAGGACAATGACAGAGAAGGATTCAAATTAGACCAATCACTCATGAATTTCGTCTACTCCGTGATCTGTTTTGCTGTGGTGTTTACATGGCACTTCACAGATAGTCGAGGTATTTATTACTGTTCCTGCCTCCTTAGATAATCTAACGCCAGGTTTCTTTCATTTCCTAACAAACGGATCTGATCTTGACTATGAATTCGCTTCACATCAATTAAATAGGGCATTCATGTCCGACTGGCTATTAATTTTTGCAGAAAATATTGAAAATATTTTTCGGCATTTTTAGGTCTGGTTTAGACTTTTTAAGTAAGAAATTGCCGGATTTCAGACCATTGCAACTATAAGTTATCAACGAAACAAGTAAATTGCTGAAAAAATTCAACGTTTTACAAAATTTACATCTCCGGTGTTGTGAAAATAAACTTTAAAACAAAGGAGACGGAAAATTAGTATCATCAGCGTGCTCAAATAAACAAATCCTCATTTTGCTCAGCTTGCGTTAATGACGCTACATGAGAAGTGATGCAGGTTTTATCAACCCCGCTAAATTTTCACGTACTTCAGATTATGATTCGAGATACATAACAATTTTCCTTAGAATTCAAATATCACGTTTGACAGTTTAGTTGTTATTTCTATATCCTTTATTGTAAGAGCACAGCCTTACTTAAAATCTTAGCTTTCAGCCTACTGCAATTGACTAAATCAGTGAAAAATATTTCAAATTCAACGAGATATTTGCTTGACTCTTAAGAGATTCCTCTTTATCTGAAGTGTAAAGCTAATCATAGGCTTGGATATCAGGCTTGACTTTATCTCTCCTGTTTTGAGAGACAAGCAAAAATCCAGCCGATTTGCGTTCGCTCCTTATATACGGTGTACAACTTACGTAGTTTGCATCCGCCAAAGTAGTTACGGACAATGATATCTTATCGTTGAGATACCACTCATTCTTTGTCGCCTGGGGGAAAGGATAAGGGGATTTTGTTTGTTTCACCGTGATATTTATTTTATTCCCTCGATGGTGCTGTTGTATTATGAATGATCTCCCCCACTGGAGGTTAATATTCTGTAGTCCCCCTCCCTTTTATAATCTGTTAGCGACGACTTATTCACTCTCTGTTCTCTCTGAGAACAAGGTGGTCTTCCCACCAAAATCCTCTGACCCCGTGGTAAATAATGACTGGTCCATTATCTTTCTATTCACCGTTCTTATTTACAGGATGCCACATAAACATAACCAGTCTTAATGGAACAATAAGCATTTCCTCCCTTCCCACGAAGCAAACGAACACTACAGGTTACACCTGCAAGTGGAACATTCAGCTGTCGACAGTCGACGCACCCCGCCATGTTGAACTGAGTTTCACTTCATTTGACATCGCTGGAGTCATGCCAGAGTGTTCCAGTGGAAATTATATTGAATTATTACTCGGTTGCCATAAATCTAAGTCTATCGGTAAATTTTGCGGCCAGCTATCTATGCCTATAGTGTATTCGTTTGATCACTGTCTCCAAATAAGGCTTTTCGTCGCATCTGATGTCCGGTTTGAGAGAAGCAGTCTGCCAGGTGGTTTGCCCTACTTTACGGCTGTTTTCACCCAACGCTTACTAACAAGAGGCAAGTAATTCATAAAGCCGTAAGGTTTGATGCACCTTTGTGTACACCTCTTTCCAGCTCAGAGAGAAGTGAGATATAGTGCTATGATACGAACTGAATAGTTAGCAATTACTTTAAGCCATAACTTAAGGTGACTGGAAACAGTCCGAGACACCGACCGACTGTACTCAAAGAACTCAAGAAACAACTTTCTTTGGTTCGCAGATAAAGGATTAAAGTTTGAAATATTTGGCGTGGTATGGCAGCGTAAGCCCTAATCTCAAGAAAGAAAATGCTGAAATTGTGAGAAAATCTATCGAGGATGGCTGTGCCAATGTATAGGCGTACACTTACTGCTAATTAGCCCCCTGATTATATGAGATTTTTCATATAACATTTTAGATAATTATGTAATTCTTACTTGATTAAATGACGCCGATAAAAGTTATTAAAATTTGCCGCCATCTTTCCTCTTTCTCAGCCTTGTCGCAGAATTATTGTAAGTATAATTATTCATAACCTTGTTTAGCTTTTAACCTCAATGTCAAATTGAAGGCATTAATTATCATTCTGAGTTCACTGATGATGCTCTTAATAGAGCAATACCATCACGACTACAGAAAATGATTCCTTGCTCAGTATAGCCTTAGAAAATCTCCAAGAATATTTCAATGGATAATGACAAAGAATTTTCAATTTTTGCATTTTTTCTGAGTAGTCTTAAAATTCATTCTGTGGTATTATCATTTCAAAAGAATAAACTTTTAGATTGAAATTAGCTTTGTTTCCGAGAAAAATTATGTAATTCTATATGTTTTGCTGTTCGATGTTTCTTTCTTTTTATTATTCATAGCGGAATCACCAGAGATGAAAGGAAAATCTGGAAAATAGTTCTTAATTCGCCTATTAAAGAAATATTGCAGATTTGTACTGTCCGTAGGACATCAACAGCATTTCAATTTAACCCATTTACTCTCGATCGCTGTCTTTACATATCTACATTACTACGGATCTCGTTTGATCGCTCAAAATATTTTTTTTCAAATAGGAAAATAATCACTCACTTTTTGCCGTTTTCATTTGTTGAGAACATCATGAAACTATAAAGAACTTACCTTGAACTTCTTAATTATCTTTAGACGGTTGTGGCAAGGATTATCATGCCAATGCAAGGTACGGAAATGTCTTCTCGCCGCACTGGCCTCTACCCTACCCCCGGTACGTAGATTGTGTATGGCACGTGACTACGCGGAAAGACTATCATATCAAGCTGCTCTTCTTTGACTTTGACGTCAGATCAACTAACGCTTGCTCAGAAGCCGACTTCGTAGAAGTGAGACCTGCAAGTAAGTACCTCATGGACGAATCAGTTTCTTTCTTTGGTCGTTTTTGTGCATATGCGTGCGCGTCTTTGCCTGTGTGTGTAATTTTTGTATTTTGTGTGTGCGCGTGCGTGTGTGCGTGTGTGCGTGTGCGCGTGATTGTGCCGGTGCGTGTTTTAGCCATGGAGGAGGTATTTTTTTACCGCAAGGCAAACCGTAATCCTTATTAAAACGAGGTAGATTGTAAATTTTGTGCCTGGTCATCTACAAAAATAAATGTTATCCATGCATCTTAAACGTGTGGCAGAGATTTCTCCTCAAGCAATCGAACCTCAAACCTTTGGATTTTTCCATGTGATATTCTAACAAATAGCTAAACAGAACTTATTGACGAGCTACGCCATCTCTGGGTTTATATGCGAAATTATCTAACCTGGTTTTAAAGCCTGCTGAAAGCTCTTACCCAACTAGTTGACTAGGCAAAAAAAAACTCTTCATTTCCTGATTTCTATTTTTCTTCAATCAAGGAAGGTTAGTGACAAAATCCAAACAATGTGGAAAAAAGGAACCATTTGCACTAACGATTGAAGGAGACTCAGTATTCATACAGTTTAAAAGTAATATGGTGGCAGGAAATCGGGGATTTATGGCAGGATTTGTTACCTACAGTGCTGGTATGTGGATAAAAAATATAATGATTTGAGGCACTTAACATTCTCAGCCGGACACTATAAATGGCGGAAGGTTTAGTCTGGACGAGTGCCGACCGTAAAACTGGGTTGTTTACACGAATTTGCGTTCTACGCCAAATTCTCCTCACTCACTTTCAAAAATACGTACTCCTATACTTTTCAGTCTAAACTCTTTTATATTTGTCGAGATCGCGTTCGAAGCTAGCAACCTGATTTTCTACTTCAAGGTGTGACGTTAAATCTCTGCATTTAGAATATTCAGGTGTATGCAGGCCTTGAGAAACTTAACGCATCATACTGTAGCCCCTTTTAAGTGAAAACCTCATCGCTATGATATGTATTATTCGTTTCCTCACAGAGACTGCCGGCTTTCAACCTCAACTTCTAATCATGCTAGCCATAATATTTTCAACTCTCTTCATTTTTGCGGGAAAAACTTTAGTTAAGAAAATGTTAGCGAAAAGACGATTGAAAAGGAAGGGTGACCTCGTCCAATCATCACGACGTTACAGGATTAGGACTTTCACACCAACATCACTTGACCAGTCGGTGGAAGAATCTACGACAAAGGCTGACTTCTCAGGTCTGATGGGTTCCTCGGCAAGGAACCCCCCAATGAAAAATGTCACTTTTGAAAGAGCAGAAACCGAGAGCGAGCCTAGCTCAAAAAAGAGAAATAACAATGAAGATCTGGAGCAAGAAACTGTCTGCTAATTAATTACGGCCACAGTGCAGGATTTTGGTAGCCAGGGACCGGTAGTTATTTGTCGCCTTAAGAGGAGGGGCGGGGGGGTTCGGGTTGTAGCACGATAAAATTTACCTGATGCCCCCCTTAGGCGTGATAGTTTTTTTATGACCCCCTCTTTGGCAGTCACCCAGTTCACCCACTGACGACTGATCCCCCTCTGTTCCCCTGACAACCATGTGATTCTCCAAAAAGACTTCTCCGACTCCTTTCCCCACGGGCGATGAATTATGTCCGTTTGTTCTTAGCATCATAATACCTTGAACGTACGCTCTACATCTGCCAAGTTCTCTAAGGACTAAAGAGCTCAGACCCCTTTATTCAGGATATTGTGACAAGTTTCTGAGCACATAATTATTACAAAACACACTAGGGTAGTAAAACCTAGTTGAATACACGACAAATAGCATTACGTAGAGCGGTATTTTTGGAAAGCTCATGTACTCCTACCAATTTAACCTAAAAGTGTAAACAGACTTTTAAAAACCTTCTCTGAAGCATGCTTTTAAAAATACTAAGCGTTTTGATTAAACTGATTTTACTTTGTAACACAAAGCGACTGACTCCATGACCACTCACTCCTCCCTCAAAGCTCTCCTTTTGAGTTCTTGGTTAAAGAAGATGAGAGCCTAGTGGTTACCGAGTTAATTATTAGATTTCTCCTTGCTCCGTATACTACCATGGGTGGCTAATTTATCATAAAATCACCATTATTATTGTTTATAAAATTTTCTCTGTTGTCGCAGTCTATTTTATAAACTGAGTATTTTTATCTTCTTTCTTTAATTAAATTCCCTCATGTTGCGTTGTTCTTCTTCAATTTTTAAACCTGATTAACCAGCAAAATGGCAAAATTATGCAAAAGATACACGGCTATCGCGATCTTCTCATTGACTTTTCTCATAACAATAGCCCCAATTATTTTAAAAGCTGTTTGAAATGGTCACACTGCAAAAAAAGAAAGAATTTAGTTTAGAATTGTTAGTACTTTGTAACGTTCTTTGATGAGAAACGAATTCCAAAGGAACTGAAGATTTCCTCGTTTTCTAAAAATAGAGCCGAGCTTTATTGGGGCCTATTCCAATATTAAAACATTTGACACAGGTCAATATTTTTTGCATGCACTGAAAAATTCGTATTATCTTGTCGAGAAGCGCAATATAGAGATTATTCTAAGAAACATACTTAAGAATACTACAAGGTTGGTATGATGGTGAAGTGAAGCTCTGATATTTGGTGTTATGGACAGATAACCCTCTCCACAAATTGGGATACACTTACTTGACGCGCTGATTACTGTGGAGGGTAGGGTGGTTGTCCAGTAGGGTAAGGAGGTGCTCCACCCGGTTGTCCAGCGGGGTACAGAGGTGCTCCACCCGGTTGTCCAGGGGGGTAAGGAGGTGCTCCACCCGGTTGTCCAGGGGGGTAAGGAGGTGCTCCACCCGGTTGTCCAGGGGGGTATGCTGCATCACCCCCAGTGAGTCCAGGGGGGTACGGTTGCCCTGAAGGAGTATTCAAACATACATTTAGGTTTTAAGGTCCCCAAATTTCCGAAGCCCAAGTTTATCATGTTCAGCACAGGTAGTGCTGTACATGCATCTCTTTAGAAAATGCACTGAAGCTTTCAAAATTTGCATACACATGAAATTAATTCACTTTTAAAGATACGATAGTACGTTCACTTCATGTAACAACATATGCTTTCCTTTACAGTGATGTTTGGGACTAACAGCTTATTAAATGGCGTCTTCTCTCCCTGTAGTTTAAATTTGAGTTAAGTTTTAGACTGGTTCTAGGTCGGGGAAATTAAGCGTTCTGTAAATTGGATTTTTTTCTGAAAAACTAAGTGAATGTTAGAGAGAAAAAAATCATTTAAGAAGTGACACTTCGACTGGGTGCTCATTTATTTACTGTTTCAAAAATCTTATTAAGATTTGGAGTGTTGATTATTTTGTGGGAAAAACCAGCAAGTTGGGAGGAAACCCTTCCTAGCAAGGCCCAGAATTAACTACAAAATCAACTTAAATTGACCCCCAGGTTCTAGGACTGAACCTGTACCACAGTTATGGGATCTAAACACTCTCAGCTCCGCAGTATACTTTCTTCCCGATCTAGACTCGACTTTCTCTGCAGGACCTTGACAATGAGATGACAAACAGTTCCAATTAACCTACCTTGTGGGGGGTAGGGAGCTCCCGTCCCTTGATCGTAGGGGGGTGGTGCATAACTTGCTTGAGGTCCTGCAGGAGGAGGGTGAATGGTTACTTGCTGTGGTTGAGCAGAAGTATGTGCCACCGCCATCTGTCGTTGCGCCCTTTCCCTGACTCTCTTTTGGTGAAAAAATTTGTAGTAGACGAAGGCAGCAATGCCAATCACAACGGCCAGTGCAACCAAGACGCCAATCACAGTGCCAACAGTTTTAGCGCTAATTGGGGCTGTTGAAAAAAAAAAACAAAAATAGAAAATGCTCTTTCTTATTTGCCTCACTTTGGGAGAAAATCACTGCAAGAACAGTTAAAAGTCAAAATAGCAACATCACAGTCTGTCAGAATCACTCTTGATCTAAGGAGGGGGACACTAGGGTCTATTAGAAACCACAAAACCGTAGAAAAAAATTATCCAAAACCGCAGAACCGCTAGGAAATTCGATCAAAACCGAAAACCGCATGCAAAACCGTAAACTGAGCAGTGACAAGCGGAGCACAGAAGAGAAACCGGAACCCAAATAGAAAAAAAGGAAAAACACATCCGATACCAAGTGTGAAAAGCCACTAGTATTTTGACGAAAACCAAAAAACCAAATGTAAAACCGAAAAACCGAAAAAACCGATCTAAAGATTAGCCAATATCGCAAAACCGAAAATCCCTGTGCTTTAAACGCCTGTAACCCAAAAACATCATTATTACCACATCACTACAAGAAAAATCGAATAAAAGTAAGTAAGGCTTATTTGGAATCACTTAGCCATATCAAATGCGCAGTCAATCCTCTGATTTTCTTATGACATATCTGACTGGCTTATATATAGCAAGTGATCTCTGGGTCTTTAAAATGGCGGCTCATCTTTGAAGGGATTAGGAGTTTTTATCTCCATCCACAATACCACGCCTGTACTGTTCTTTCTTTGTTCCGATAAATGCTGAAGCTCTGTGCTCGGGCAGATGAAAAAAAATACAAAAACCAAAAACAAAAAAAAAAAAAACGCGCCTTTTGCTCGCCATCCTGCTCGCCATCCTGCTCGCCATCCTGCTCGCCATCCTACTCGGAGGCATGTAGGCCTCTGGTCTCCTTCAGTTTGATAAGGCTAACTAGGCCAAAGAAGAACGCCTGGGGTATTTTATGCAATATGGCGGGCGTGTGAAGGGGACAAGTTATGTTTCCTTGCCTTAACCACAGAGTGATGGCCTTTACGTCGTAATTTATTAAACTTTAGTAATTGCATAAGATGAAATGTCACAGTAGAACCGTTAACTGAATACAAAATTACGAAGTTTTGCATCATATCAGTCTGATGTTGGAACTTGCTAATTGCAAAGTAATTTACTCTTTAATATTACCTCCTTTAATAGGGTTATGGACAGCCGGCAGAAATGGTCGAAAATCCAATTTTATCGGAACAAAAGCGAAAATTTACAAGAGAAACGAGTTCAAATCGCAAAAGAAATAACTCTGTTCTCCAACAATTGGCCGCCAACATCCATGCCAATGTTTTGTAAATAAATACGATTGCCGTTACGTCATGAGAAAACGATCCATGAGCAGCTGATACGATCTGATGTCTTGTGGAAAACACTGTTGAATTTGCATCTACTGAGATCTTTGACTCAGGTACGTTCAGCATGGTCTGGTAAAACGCAACGTAAAGAATCTTCTCCATATGGGTTATAGTTCCGTACAGCTTGGTTTAATACAGTGAGAACCTTAAGAACTTACAATTAACTCAATAGTACAAAAATCCAAGATGGCTGCTGAAAACCATGTGTTAAAAAGAGGAGGAACGAGGAGGACTAGTTAATAGCTAAATTCTACAATAATGCAACAATATGGAAACAGTTAATTAATAATGCAACAATATGGAAACAGTTAATTAACAATTATTCCACGAGCGCGCGTTGGATATGAGATGATAGATAGCCAACGAGGCGCGTAGTGCCGAGTTGGCTATAATCATCTCATATCCAACAAGCGCGAGTGGAATAATTGTTTTATTAAAAATGTTAAATTAAATTATTAAATTTTATTAAATTTTTAGCTCCCTTTTAATTTTAAGCTGCCACGTACGCTTGCCATATTTGGAGATTATGGTATATTGGCTGATATACCATAATGGCTTAGCCAATAAAAAGTCTTGAATTGCATTATCCAATGATCTAGTTTTTAATAAAGTAAATTATTTCATGCTAGAGAAAGTTTTGAATAAAATTTGGATAGGTCATCAAAATCAAAGTGAGCTGTCATTTCAAAACAATTTTAAGATTTTACCCATATATTTCTGAATGAGAGGATTTGCAATACTGGACCTACATTTTAATGTAATAATAATTAATAATTAAAATTACTAATTTGAAACTTGCATGTCAATTTGCTTTTCTGGCAATGTCCCATTTTCAGCTTCTTGTGAAGCTTCTTCAAACTCATTAATTTTTTTGCAAAATCTTTTAAACAGCTAAGAATATAAATTATAAGTACAGGCTCAGAGCCACCTTAGTTCATAGCAAATTTGGTTGTATGAACAACCAATTTGAGGAAACTGTCTGGAGGCTTAAACAAATATGTGTGCAGCACTTACTTTTGTCATACATGACATATCCAGCAAGAAACCCTCGGTTGCTAGTAAATGTGTCAGACTTGAACCTGATCCAAATTCTCTCCTCAGATGACGTAAAGTAAAATGGGTTTACTGGACCACATTTAGACTCTTTGAGAGTGTTGGCCTTATTATATGATTCATGATCATCTCCTTCTAAAAGGGAAAAATCATAATACAACTTAAGAAAAAGTAAAATTATCCTGCCCCCTGACTTCCATGGTAGTTACAGTTTGTACCAACTTGCGACAACAATTAATGTGGACCCATATGTTTTCTTCTGATTTTTTCTTCTTGTCCATGAAAGATATTGGTCAGGTTATAATGAACATAACTAGTAGAAAAATATTCTCTGAAATATTTAATTTGGGTTTTCAAGTCACAAGTAATTTACAATACCTAGAATGTCAACAATTATAGAATTAACTTACAAATTCAAGCACTCTGCACTCTTTCTAATTATTTTGTTCATGTGAAAGAGTCAGAGGTGTGCAAGGTGCGTGCAGGCTTCCCGGTAGTGGCGATTAATGCATTGAAATAATTAAATTTCAATAAAAAGCTGAATCTTGCCCACACTTTGATTGGTTCTTGCTCATCATGCATTAGATTACCGATGCATGTATGATGTCACAATTTTACACTTTTGTATCATTAATATTTATAATAAAAAGATTTCCTGTTGCCATGAGTTTGTACAGTTAGCAAATGGTAAACACCAGAGTGTACACTACTGAGTTATGGATGCACGCTGGAGGTTGATAAGCATGAGAGAAGCATAAGAGTCACACGAGGCGACAGCCGAGGGTGACTCTAGCTTCTTGAGTGCTTAACAAACCTCTCAAGCGTATCCATAACTCTATAGTGTACACTGTGGCATTTACCATTTGTTTTACAACATAATAGACAGATACATTGTAGCAAAAGAGTTTTCTTTCATTTAACAAATCTTACTTGACCAGAAAAAAACAAGTGTATGCAGAAAACTAGTCTTTGCATTTGCTCATGTCAGCAGCATACACCCATGGGCAAATGGTGGATGTTGAATTGACCAATTAGAGTGCACACTTTACTTTAGTTATGTTATAAAAGTAGATCACAGCAAACATCATAACGCTGTAAGAACATCAGCGACACACCCAGCCCAGCTGCACCTTGTGTGTCATCTTTGGTCAAATATTGGACAGACCCATGGCAACATGGTATCTATATGTTGACTAGTTATATAACAATTATTTAATAATAATGATTTAGCAGTGGACAATCCATGAGGTAGCTCTTCCTGTCCCCTGTTACCAGGTTGAATTGGAATTTGGAGTGTTGGTTTTTGTAGAGGGAGGAACACCCTCTGGCAGAGGACTTGGAGAAAAACCCACAGAGTAAGGACAAGATCCACCTACAAACTCAACCTGCAAATTAAGACACCATACAGGTCCCATGAATCAAACCCAGGCCACAGTGGTGGGAGGGTAAGTATTCTCACCATTGCCCCATTCCCTCTCCCCTTGTTCATCAATAAAGAGCAGTGAAATTTCTCCCACCTTTAACTTTGACTTTGTCATCTTCACACGAAAGATCATTTTCCAAATCAAAGTCCATGAAAGCTATTTTAATGCCCCTGTTGTGCCCAACCTCAATCTTCCAGTAACAGTCTTTGTTAGAAGGATAGTCTTGGGGCCAATTTGGAGAACTAATCACTCCAGATGTTGCAGTGAGAGTCTTAGTTGAGAAACATTGCCCTGTTTCATAAAAGGGAAAAAGATGTTAAAAATTAAATTAATCATTATGCAGATTATTTCCCAGGGACTTATGCGTATTGATAAAAATTTGACATGTGAAGCAATCAATTAATGTATAGATAATTAATTTATTGTTGTTGTTTACACTTGTAATCACAAATTAACAGTTGTATCATTACAGACTAACAATCGTATCACAGCCAAAGGCCTTGCCTTTTCAACTCGAGCAATCCATTCATCCAAAGACAAAACTGTCCATATTTGCAGGTAAATATTAAACTGCTAAACGCTGTTGTTGTTCTTGGTTTTTCTTTTTTTTCTCATTTTTTTTTTTTTATGGATG